TCTCAATGGAAATTAAAAGAAGACAAAACGTGGCAGCCTAATCTAAATGTCTTTTGCTCTGTTGTCTCGGGCATTGATGTGAGGCTCATCCTTCTTTCTGTATCCTTCCCTGTCTGTCTGTCCTTCATAATCCTGCAGCAGAACACGATGGAAAAAGAGCACAGGCTCAGGAGCCAGATTCCTTGGGTTCAGGTCCTGACTCTGTCACTTACCAGCTCTGTGATCTTGGGCAAGTTACTCAGCCTCTCTTGCCTCGGTCTCCTCACCTGTGAAATGGGGCTGAGAATAACAGCACGGACCCCAGCACAAGACTTGAACTCACGACCCTGAGATCAGGACCTGAGCTGAGATGAAGAGTTGGACACTTAACCAACCCTCTGGGGATTTTTTTTTTTTAAGATTTTATTTATTTACTCATGAGACACACACACACAGAGAGAGAGAGAGAGAGAGAGAGAGAGAGAGAGAGAGAGAGAGAGAGGCAGAGACACAGGCAGAGGGAGAAGCAGGCTCCATGCGGGGAGACTAATGCGGAACTCGATCCCAGGTTTCCAGGATCACAACCTGGGTCAAAGGCAGCACTAAACTGCTTAGCCACCGGGTCTGCCCCTCCCTCTAGGGATTTTTAAGGGATTAAACTAGAAAGGGAATTAAGCTCAAACAAAAGGACCATATAAGGGTAAGCTATTACTATTTTTATTTCTTTCCTATCTTCTTCCCCTTGCTTTCTTTCAATACTTACTGAATATCCCCTAGATACAAGACTCCACACATGATGCCATATAAAGTTCAAATACAGACAGGGCAGAGTCCTTGTTCTCCAAGGAAGGACAGAAGGTAAAAAGTTATAGTAGAAAAAGATCACCAATCTGGGATTTGGGGAAATGGGGCTCTGACTCCAGCACCATCACTAACTTCTTTGTGGCTTCCTCACCTGTAAGCCCAAGAGCCTTCTAGGGATCCTGACAATAGAGTGCAATAGCACCCAGCCAGGCACCACACACCATGCCACCTGACTGATGGTATCATCAGTACCACAACTCCGAGGGGAGAGAAATGGTCTCTAGTCCAGCCAGTCACGGAGGGCATAATGGGCTCCGGATTTATGTGAGGCTGAAGGGCAGCTGAGAGGTTGGGAGATGGAACAGGGAGATGGAACAGACAGATGGAAGGAGAACGTGCAGAGGCACAAGTGTATTTGGGAATCTAGTAAATAGCACATTTTGGTGGCAGCTGAGAAATGGTTTGGGGAAAGCAAGAGGACTGTTGTGCACACAACAATGGGAAGGTTATGAGGAAGAAATCATGCCAGGATGGTGGTACGGGGGACATATCTGGTGGTGGCCTGTAGGATGGACCAGGCGGAGAGACCAGGTGAAGACAACTGTACGAGGCAGCCATGAAGACTCAGAGGTTGGGGGGAAGCGGTCCTGCAGGCTTGGAGCGAGGGCCCCCCACAGGACAGCTGCCCAGTCGGGGGGTACTCCTGTCACCTCTCTTCTCCACGGGTCTCTCAAGTTAACAAGAAGATGATGGCAAAGTGTAAGCACGGTGCCTGCACATGGTAAGAACTTAGTAAATATTCTTGAGAAAGCAAAATAACGTGTGAGAACAGCTGCGAACGAAGAAATTACTATTCACCTGGAAGTCAGTTATTGGTGAAACACATAGCAAGTGACAGCAAAAGGAGGGGCCCCATGGAGACTTCGCCCAGGTCACCGGCCCTGTGAGCAGGGAAAATATGACCGAGAGAGAACTGGGAATCCAGGAGAGTGTCAGGATATGGAGGAGTGGCAAGCACCTGTCCTTGACTCTGCAATCAGAATGAGCCGGCATAACAGGACACTGTAACTGCTGTGTAGACTAGGGCGAGAATAAAGCCAATGCCCTCCCTGGGCCTGGATCTCTGACCTATACTCGTGGTCCCAGAGGAAGAGAGAAGAGTTATAACCCCAAACTCTCTGCCCAAAGCCACCAATGGTGCCAGTCATCGATATCACTGCATCCCATAAAAAGATGGTATGCATAATTGTTCCCGTCTTCAAGGTGAGGAAACTGGACTGGGGTCACTTGGTGAATTCAGCTGAACCCAGAGCCCAGGACTTTGTCATGGACTTGAAAGCCTGTTCCCTTCCCAGCTGTCTCTCAGGGCTGTTTTTACCCCAATCAGCTTTCACAAACAGATCTAAAACCATAGAGCAAAATATGAGAGCATGAAATTGGAAATAAAATAGGTGCTTCTACATCTATTTAAATCCCATTTATTTTTAATAACTACTGAGGTTAGGTTTTGCATGAAAGGTGAGAAGTTGGTTTAAATCTTGATTTATGTCTTGGTCGACTAGTAAAATACTGTCATTCTGCTCAAGTGAAGAAAAGGCCCATCGAAAATGTCACACTTATTTAGCTTTTCTTAAAATTAAGTGCATACCTCCTGGGCATTTTCTTCTTTGGTCTTAAGCACCTATGATTTCCCAGATTTTGTTTGCTGGTATGTTCCTTTCCTCCAACATGTGGGGATACGTATATGTATGTAGGCCTATGGCAACCAAAGGGCTAATGCTTACCTTGTCAGTCACACATAAATTCTCATCCTAGGGATGCCTGGGTGGCTCAGCAGTTGAGCGTCTGCCTTTGGCTCAGGGCATGATCCCGGAATCCCAGGATTGAGTCCCTCATCAGGCTTCCTGCATGGAGCCTACTTCTCCCTCTTCCTGTGTCTCTGCCTCTCTCTGCCTCTCTGTCTCTGTCTCTGTCTCTCTCTCTCTCTCTCTGTGTCTCTCATGAATAAATAAATAAAATCTTAAAAAAAATTCTCATCCTAAATGAGGATCGTTTGTCCTCTTAGTTAAGTGTCTTTCACAATGTTTATAAACCAAAGGCATCTGGCTCAGAATGGGGACTAATATAATTGCAATAAAAAAATTGGAATACAAATTGGTTAGCAGGAGAGTCTTCAGTAATGAGCAAAAACAATTATGTCAATAAGCCCAACCTAATGTGGAAATAAATGAGAATATCAGGCCATTGATCAAGAAGCTCACATAGGCATTGTTTTAATTAAATCTACGAAGTATTGCTGTTTCTAGTACTTCCCATGGGTCCCTCCTTCCATTGACCTTGGGGGTCCCCTCTTTACCTCCATGGCCTGGAACAATACTTCTGTGGTTTTCCCACAATCATCTGCTTCTCTTTATATATCATTCCATAGCTAGCGTGACCCGTCAGTCTTGCTTCATGATGATGGTTAGTCTCTCATCAGACTTAAGAATCCAAAAGTCTCTCCTTTACCTGAACAACAGTGGAAGAAATTTGTCTCTTAAACTCACTCCCTGAGCTTTTGAGTTCATACCCTGCCAAGTTGTGTCCCATTACCAGAAAAGAATATCCACTATTGCTCAAAGTAAGAACAGCAAGATTTCAGATTGAAACAGCCCCTTTCTTCCAACAGCCTGAAATAGCAGGTGAGTGCTTCTTTCAATCTGTTCAGATTTTAGTCAGCACGTTTTGGTCATTCTAGACCCAGAAAATCCTCAGAAATCAGAATTCATTATGTAGGGTCAGAGAGATGGAGATGGATGATGGTCAACCAGGAATTAATGAGGATTGCAGAAATCTGACCAATTTTGCCTGGAGATCTCTGTGGCCATCCATCTTTTTCCACCATCTGCTCCAAATTTGGACCTATGCCCTGAGAGGCAAAAGACAAATGCATCCATCTTAAAAGTCCACCCAGGTGAAATGCCATTAAGTTGCATTATTATCCAGAACTGCAGAGAGAAACATTTCTTTTCTAGTTAATCTGGCAGCCATCAGTTGTTCCCCATTAACTTGAGAGAAGCATCTGGTTTATGTGCTAGGATAAAATATCTCACAATCTATCAAAATTAAACCCCTAAGAGTTATTACTGAAATTAAGGACGGTCTCTTATTTGTTGGAGGTGGGTAGACTCATGCTTTCCCACGAAGTTCATGTTCTGGCATACTTATCTGTGGGATCTGCATTCCCTGGGTGAATAGGAACCTAATGATCATACCTGTCTTATGATTTTAAGCATTCCATGTTAGCATAAATTAAAGCACATTCATACGGCTGTTGTTGTTAAAGACAACAATCACCTCATGGTAAAATATTATTTTTCCTGAGGGTTCTCAGATACCTCTGTTAGCATGTCCAGTATCTACAGGCATTCTCGTTTTTCTGCAGTTGTTTGTGCTGATATAGAGTCTAGACAGAGCACAGAGACACAGGAAGGTCTTTCTGAAATGTTTTTAGACTAAGGAGGATAGAAAATGACCTAAAACACACTGGATTTTAGGACACCTAAAATAAGATTTCTCTTATCATATCCTGTCTCACTTCATGAGAAATAGGTATATTCCTGAGCCATCTAACATATGTCACATATTACTAAATCAAATCTCATTATCTCATTATTTAAAGGAATTCCCTCTCCCTCCTTCTTTCTCTTTCTGTGTTGGGTTTACATAAACAAATATTTCAAATCTTTTTAAGCCAAATACTCTTTCTTGAAACAAGTACTCTGAAATACACTGTTGTTCAACTCTAAATGCTCTCTCCCTTATTTATTTCAGAGTTCTTTGAACTAAACTACATTGGTTGGAGAGAGAGGTAGAGAGAGAAAGAGGAGGTGGGAGAGAAGGTGGGAGAAAGAGAGTATAGTCAGAGAGCTTGCATAGACAGGTCTGCCCCCAGGGTCCCCCCCCTCCGCCCCCCTGCCCTTAAGTGGATCCTTGATGAGCATGATAAGGGAGATGTGTGAGTGTCTGCTCCCTCCCCAGTCTGGCTCAGTTCTTTTGTAACCTGTATAGCATAAGCATTTTGACATGTTCAGTGGACATGTGTATTTTACACAACATGCCACAGCTGCAAAAGAAATTCTCCAAACTAATGTGACTGGATTGAGAGTCTAAAAAAACTGGTTAGAGCGTGGAATCATAAAAATTATACTCTCATTATATATATGTATTAATTGATATTTATCATATACATTCACGGGTACTTATGTGTCATCCTTGTGCAGGGGCCATGCTCATCTTCTCTGTTTCATTCCAGTTTTAGTATATGGGCCGAAGCGAGCACTATGTTCACAGGTATTTAAATATATGGGTGTACACTCATTCACAAATTTGGTATAGGAACAATGCCTTGTCTTTGAAGATGGGTTCACTGTCTCAAAGTCCCAATTTCCTGTCTAAACCAGAAATCCGTTATGATTTTCAGGTTCGTTTCTTTAAAGAAGATAAAAAAAATCCAAAGACAGCTGAAAAGCAGTTGGACTTTGGAATCTGCTTAATTTTTATGATTTTCCTCAGTCTTTTAGACTTATTTCGTTTATACTTCATGTGCCCACAATTTTTGTTCATCCTTGACAAGTCTTTCCAAGACAATGGTGTAGGCTTCATAGAAACATGTCTCCTTTTCACACTCATATATCATGTGTTCACATAACATTTCGTTACATGTCTTAAATGGAAAAAGTACAACTGGCGTAAACAGGTTTGGGAACAAACAAGTCTCAGTTGTCTTCCAATTGCCTTGATGGGGAAGTGGGAGGAGCCCTCAGAGAGCAGCTGCCTCACCCAGCATCTGGAGTGCCTGCCCGGCGGCTGGGGGCACAGCCTGGCTGGAGGTAGACCCACTGAGCTTCTCTGACTCTCAGCTGAGGCTCAACCAAAGAAACAGCTAATGATCTAGTCCCATGCTGGAGGGGAAAAAACTGACCAGGTGAGCCCTAGGGAGAAACTGTAGGATGGTCTCTAACCTGATGCCTTTCTAAGGCTTGAAGGGTCACTCTGCTCAATTTTTATCTTACATGCTATTGGATAAACTTCCTCATAACATGCAATAACACTGCTGTAAACAGAACAAAGAGAAAAAGCAGTCATGCTTTGGGCCAGAGAAAAACTAAGAGGTAGAATATATATTATATAAATATATACTACATAAGTATGTAGAAGTAGGGCAGCCCGGTGGCCCAGCAGTTTGGCACCGCCTTCAGCCCAGGGTGTGATCCTGGAGACCCGGGGTCGAGTCCCATATCAGGTTCCCTGCATGGAGCCTGCTTCTCCCTCTGCCTGTGTCTCTGACTCTCTCTCTCTGTGCCGGTCATGAATAAATAAATAAAATCTTTTTTTTTAAAAAAAAAGTATGTATAAGTAAATGCTATAAAAGTACATATACTTTTTTTTTGTATATTACTTTAAAACATATATTATAGGGGTGCCTGGGTGGCTCAGTCGGTTAAGCACCTGCCTTCAGCTCAGGTCATGATTCCCGGGTCCTGGGATGGAGCCCCACATCGGGCTCTCTGCTCATCGGGAGCCTGCTTCTCCCTCCCCCTCTGCCTGCTACTCCCCTGGCTTATACTCTGTCAAATAAATAAATAAAATCTTAAGATAAAAACCTCTCTTTAAAAAAACATATATAGGGGCAGCCCCAGTGGCCCAGCAGTTTAGCGCCACCTTTGACCCAGGGCCTGATCCTGGAGACCTGGGATCAAGTCCCGCGTCGGGTTTCCTGCACGGAGCCTGCTTCTCCCTCTGCCTGTGTCCCTGCCTCTCTCTCTCTCTCTCTCTGTGTGTGTGTCTGTCACGAATAAATAAATAAAATATTTTAAAAAAAACATATGTACATATTGGGCAGCCCGGGTGGCTCAGCAGTTTAATGCCGCCTTCAGCCCAGGGCATGATCCTGGAGACCCGGGATGAAGTCCCACATCAGGCTCCCTGCATGGAGCCTGCTTCTCCCTCTGCCCGTGTCTCTGCCTCTCTCTCCCTGTGTCTCTCATGAATAAATAAATAAAATATTTAAAAAACCATATATAAAGCTATATTTTATATTTAGATCCATATATAACATTATATAAAATCTTTATCACATAATAAATTTGTATTATTTTACATTTACATTATATATAAAGTATATTTTTATATTATATATATTCTGCCTTTTAATTACATCTATTCTGCCTTTCAGTTATATATATATATGTGCAGATGTCTATAAGAGTATATAGACATGTCTACGGCGTGTGTGTGTGTGTGTGAACACTTATCTGATGGTGCTTCATGAGGTGTGGAGGTTCACACTGTATCTTAAAATAATTTGACTGAAATCTTTAATCCCTAAAATTCCAGCTGGATTGAGAAATCGTCTTAGTTGTCTTGGTTCATTACTTTGGACTACAGGCCATCATTTTACTCATCATTGCTGCTATACAGGGTTTGGATAAACATATTGTGGATGAAAAGGATCTGAAGCTGGATCTAGTCTCAGTGTCAAGGAGTGCCAGCCCATAATCATCCATACTGGCCAATTCTGCTTCGTTGCTACTTTACAACACTTGCAGCTGTGAGGGATGGTGTATTTAAAGGGCCTTTCTTTAGCTCCTGCATTTTATTTATTTATGATTGATTATTTACGTTCTACTTCCACAAAGGATTCAAGGGCAGCTGAGTTCTTCAGTTAAACCCATTCTTTATCAGTTCAGCCACTTCATCATCCTGCTACATCCAACTTCAATGGAGTAGTTTCCTCAGTGTGATCAATTAACTCGGACCCCTGTGGCCTGGGCCCTCCACTGAGCAACAAAGGCGGTCCATTTGCAGAGTCTGTGACCTTTGGATTACTGCCCCAGCAGTACAGGAAATTCTGGCAGCCCTTCCCAGGGCATCCCCTTTGGTGTCAAGACCTCTCAGGGGTGGCGTGGAGTGTGGAGACCAACAAGGCCATCAGCAGCTCCACACGTCAGCGTGGAGGTAGCTGAAGAGTGACTTTGAGGACCTTGCCCGTTGATGACGTAGGCCATCAATAAGTGTCCCATCTTGTAGGGGTCTCCATCCACACGTTCAATAACCATGCACCCTTTTGTGAGAAGCACAAGAAAGAGCTAAGCTTCAATCTCAGCTACAATGGATCTCCACTCCTCCATCTTTACCCCTGTCAAGTCTCTAACTAAATGGAGCAAAGTATCTACAGGTGTTATTTCAATTTCCATGCTCTTTTTGAGCTGAAGAAATCACCTAACTTCACTATGCTTGTTTTTTGTATCTACATCTTGGTGATGAAAGCACTGGTCCCTAGCATGTTGAAAGAACCTCAGGGCAAGAACCACCACATGTGGCTGTGGCAAAAGCCCCTGAGTGTTGCTGTGCCTGAGAGCCACTTCTACCTGACGACCTTCTCAAACACCCAATCCCTTGCTCTTGGCTTGTCTTTGTAAGAATGGCAGCTGCTGATCTCAATGCCTACTACTTTTCCCAGATAGTGAATAAAGCACTGCATTCAATCATTTACTCTTGTTAGCTAGCCTGCACTCCCAGTAATTCTGCTCTCTGAGAAGATGAATAGCATTGGGCACCCAGTTGCCAATGTAAGGTCTGTCCTCAGACAGAACAAAGATGCCTCACACCATCTAAATATATTTTTCCATTAGTGGGGACAGCTTTGCATGCACCATACACTCTCCCACCAACTTTTCCCCAACCAATAGCAGACATGTGAAAACAGTTGGTAGAATCTTTGGGAATGACCTGTGGCCGTGGAATAGTATGATGCTAATTTGCATGCACCAGGAATGAATCTATGACCTACATGAATAGATTCACTAAGGATTGAGGTTAGTGAATAGATAATCCAAATGCTGGCCTTGATTGGAGTAGAAGCTATCTTTACTCTGGGCTAGATTCCCCAAGGTTCTACGTCAGTGGTCCGCTTTTATCTACTAATCAGCGCTTTGTTCTAACCACTTGACTAGCCAATTACAGACTTAAAATATGAATAGAGGGATCCCTGGGTGGCGCAGCGGTTTGGCGCCTGCCTTTGGCCCAGGGCGCGATCCTGGAGACCCGGGATCGAATCCCATGTCGGGCTCCCGGTGCATGGAGCCTGCTTCTCCCTCTGCCTGTGTCTCTGTTTCTCTCTCTCTGTGACTATCATAAATAAATAAAAAAAATTTAAAAAAAATGAATAGATACACCAGGGGCAAGGCTTTGAACTCATCAGGAATAAAATGACAACAAAGAAATCTCTAGACTCTATTTTATGTATCTGAAGTATAGTTATGAAAAATTTTTATTCTATATTAGTTTAGTCTCATAAGAGAAGTAAATGTAGGTCCTTGTCCTGGGTATAAAAATGCATACAGACCAGAAGAGAATCACACTTCACTATTTATAAAGCACTTCTAAATGCTACCCTTGTGTGGTATGATTACAACCTTGACAGATGAAGAAACTGAGGCTCAGAAAAAAAAAAGTGATAGGCCTGGGGTCTAGAATCCTGGTGTTTGACTCAGAGTTGGTTGTGCCTCTTGCTTTTTCATGTTCCACCATTTAGGAGATAAGGGCTTGCTGATCAAGTCCAAGAGGGAAAAGACCCTTCAGAGGACAAAGAAGAGATTATAAATAGTGTGTTATTATTTGGCTTTACTTGGGCTTTCAATGTCTGCCCATAGAAATGCATATTTCATTTATTTATTTTATGGTGAAAAAATTTATATTTAGATTTATAGCCTGGGATCATCAGTTTAGATGATCCCAATTTTGTTAGCAACATCCAAAGCATCATAGTCAGGAGCCAGTTGAACATATGCTTTCTTCTCTCCATCAGGCCTGATCAAGGTATTGATCTTGGCCACATCAGGGTCATAGAGCTTCTTCACAGCCTGTTTGATCTCGTGCTTATTGGCCTTGACATCCACAATGAACTCCAGTGTGTTGTTGTCTTCTATTTTCTTCATGGCTGACTCAGTAGTCAGGGGGAACTTGATGATGGCATAGTGATCAAGCTTGTTTCTCCTGAGGGTACTCTTTCGAGGATATTTGGGCTGCCTTCAGAGATGCAGGGTCTTGGGTCGCCAGAATGTAGGTGACGTATGGATCTTCTTTTTTTTGTGACTGTGCACGCCTTTCAGCACAGCTTTCTTAGCTTTCAAAGCCTTTGCTTTGGCTTCGGCTTTGGGAGGGGCAGGGGCTTCCTTCTTCACCTTCGGTGCCATCTTCGTGAAAGGGGAGAAATGCATATTTTAATAGGCAAACAATTCTGTAGCTAAAAGGACTGGACATGTATGCTTGGATTTC